CCAAATAATCAATCAATGCCCTACTCTCGGATAAAAAATCCATACCTAGGATAATATCGAAGTCTTGAATGCTCAAGACTATAAGGTCAACATATAAAATATAATTTTTTATTTTTATTTCACACTCCTTAATTATGGCACTAAACACTAGTGACTCTCCGAATGGGAGTGCCACTTTATATGTAATATCTAACATTTTTGATACCATGGCTACTTATCTTAACAATGAACCCGCAACGAATGAATGCATAGCACTTAAATCTATTAATGCATATATGATAAGATTAAGGATTGAAACCGTAACCCCGTGAAACTCCTTAACACGACTATACGTACTAAAATATTTATATCCGCATCTACTAAGTCTAAATTATGATTTATGTGTCATGTTCATGTTTGGTGAGGTTAATATGCTTCGTGTTTATGTGAGAAGTTATGAAAAAAAATTTTAATAATAATTTTGGCATGCCGCAATTTGAATTTCGAAAAAAATATCTCCTAAAATATCCATAGTTAGATAGGTATAATTTATGTGTCATTCCTTTTCTATTTTGTGGCGTTAAAATATCTACGGTTTATGGAAGTGTTGATAGGAATAACATTTTTAGGAATTTGACTAGTCATTATTTATGTTCCCATAATATTATATTTATAATGACCATGCAAGTGAAAGAATTTCCTAAACATGGTGCATGGGCCAAATTTGTAGGAACTAAATGACCTTAGGAAGTTGGTTAGTTTAGTTACCTTTTAGTTTTCATCTTTAGTTATTGATTTGACACCAAATCTATCACCTTTTTCTAAATTGTGACACCTAGCCCACTTTGACTTTAAAATTGTCAACTTGCCTCCCACTTAGTCTCCATCATTTGATCTTTTCTACCATAATTTTTTAACACTTGGAATACTAATAAATGAAGGAAAAAGTGTGATATAAAAATGGAAGAAAGATGAAAACCTTGCCATTTTTTGCTAGACAAAACCGTAGCTTCCAAAAGAGAGGAGAGAAATGGATTTGAGAGGGAAGAGAGACGAGAAAAGAAAGAAAAGAAAGAAAGAAGAAAAAGAAAAGGGAAAGCTTAGGCAATCTTAGGGAAAGCTTAGGCAATCTTTAGGAAAGCTAAAGCAATGTAAGTAGGTTTATGTTATTCTATGTTATGCTTTAAATTTCTTGTATATGTGCTTAAATGAGGAGGTTAGTGGAGACTTTCCATTATATTATTTATATTGGTTTATGTTCATTATAGTTTTCATGTGTGTTAGATGGCATGATGTGCATTTAATGGTGAACTTTATGTTGGATTGTACAAGTATGATGATGAATGTTTGGCATGTTGATGTATCCATATGAGATCTATGTATGATGGATGTTTATACATGTGTGGATGAGTTTGGTTTGGTTACAACAATATGGGTTTGGAAAATGTGTGTGGATAGGCTTGGATTAAAACAAATGAGCTTGGATATCTTTAAGAAAACTCATTCGGCCTAGGTACTAAAAAGGCTAAGTTTGCATTTACTTTTATGGATCTAAAGATCTAAAACTCTATGGTAACCCATTGAAGTACAACTTAATGAGTTAGGATGAAAAGAAATTACATAGAAATAAAAGAAAATCCTTTGCCCCTTTATGGACCCATTCGGCCTAAACCCAAAAATTTGGGTTTTGAATTTCACTCATCCAATTTGTGAATCAATGGTTCAAATGCACCTAAATAAGTATAAATTGAAGTGTAGAAATGTTATATGTCAAGAAGAACGAAACTTTCATTTTAGACTAGGAAACACTTGACCTAAACCTTAATTTTTAAAAATTAAGTTTCAATCATCCAACTTCATAAGTAAAAGTCCAATGACACCTAAATAAGTATAAGATAAAATATGGGAAGGTAAGAGTGCAAGACAATCAAAATTAAGACCCGGATCCATTAAAAATAAAGCTCGACTTTTAAGGCTAAATTTCGGGTTAGAAAGGAAAACCCACTACAAATACTCCCTAACATATTCCTAGGACTCAAATATCGAAATAGATTAGACTGGTCTTATTTTTCTTGTGTGACCCCGATGGTATGGAATCGACGGGTTTAATACCCATGTTTTGATGGAATGTGGTTAATGATACATCATGTACATCATATGCATTTGGGGGTGGTTTGACTAAAGAAAAACACTTGAGTTAAGAAATGATGAGGTTTGATAACCGAAGTGGTTTATAATTGGATATGTTTGGTAACCTAACTAGATTAAATGGGTATTAGCACTAAAGCTGTGTGCGTGCTCTATTATGTGTGGCTAATCCGTGTGACTATACAGGTAGACGATGGATAATCTCGCTAACCGTGTGTTATAACGAGTGCTACAACAAGGGATAATTTCGTTGTTAGCAGTAGGTGATTCGATAATCACCGAGGAATGAGAATAAAGTAGAATTGCTAATACCTAGTGGTACCTAAATTAAAAACAAAAAAGGGAAAGGCTAAGAGTTAGGATAACATTGTATCTCACGTGCATCATCCTACTTACCGAGCTTCGAGTCACCATGTTATTATTTCATGCCATGACGAGTAAAGGCGATGATAGTATCGATAAAGAAGCTTTCGATTCCTTCTAGAAAAAGGTTCATGTGTGACATAAAAATATAGTAGTCTCTTGTGCTTGTAAATTATATTTTGTAACTTTTGTAACGATATTCGATACATTGTATATGTTGTATGGGAGTAAATTTGAGACGTCGGTCTCTAAACCGTGATGCACCTAGTCACACCTTTTAGGTAATTGGTAAGGGAGCTGGGGACGCCACATAAACATTACCACACATAACATTATCATCCTCCTTATTGGCCTCATTTTATGTTATCGTATACATGTGTCCAAGAACGCGTCGTCCTTCACCTAGCTTCCTTTTTGGATAGTTATTTACCAAATGTCCTACTTTCTAATAGAAATAGCATGCATTCATGCCCATTAAACAATCTCTAGTGTATGCGCGACCACATTCGAACACTTTAGTGTTCCCTAATCTCCGTCCTTTGCGGCTTTATTCGTGCTTTACCTTTTCTATTATCCCTTCTCCGAGTTTGAATTAAAAGGCCTCTTCGACCGGATTGACTACCAAATCTACTTGAAATATTACCTCCTCTTTTGACACCAAGAGGTGGTACTTAGGTACACTCCTTTTGGTTGATCTCGACTCCAAGTACCTTTTTCACCATATCCTTAAAAGTGTTCATTGACATCCAAACAAGGGTTTTTATTCCTAGCTTTAACCCACGAAGAAAGTATTCCTTCTTTCTTTCTTTACTTTCAACAATGAACGTGGAATAAAGATAACCATGTTCAAATTTACGGACATATGTTATCACTAACATATCTCCTTATGTCAATTGGAGAAAATTCTTGGATTTTCTAGGCTATCACTCGTATTTGAAAAGTATTTCACATTAAACGACTCATTAAATTGGCCCTAAGTAAGTCTCGTTGTCTTAAGGGATGCCTTAACTATCTCCCACCAATTTCGAGCATCACCAACCAAGCATAAAAAATGCATATGCTACACGATCTACATCACTTAAGCCCAAGTGTTCGAAAATAACTTTCATAGATTAAATCCACTCCTCTGTTATATTAGGGTTTGGTCCACCCTTAAATTCTTTTGAGTTAAACCATTGGAAATATTCCACTATCTCGACTCTCTGTGGTGGTCGAGCCAACTAAAAACATGCTTAGGGCTTCTTTGCTCATTGATGGCGGCTATATTCCACAAAACATATACATATGTGTCTCTAAATCAATAGTTTGAGTAAGAGTTTTTAAGCGACACAAAGAATCTAGCTTTTCTCCAAATTTGCTTGTCATTTCAACTATATACTCATTCTAGCCAGTTTCCTACCCAAACTTTATGTGTAAACCTAGTGCTAATGTATTGCCCTACCATCGAGGAAGAAAGAAGCCAATTGAACTTTTTCATACTCATCCATGAGTTCAATCTCAAAAAAATAATAATAATAAATAAATAAATAAATAAAACGGTGGCAGTTATATAACCTTTTATTGTTTGTGAACTTGCTCTAAGTGATTTTTTAGCCCTTAAGTCATATTTTCAAAATTTTAAGTGGTGTCTTGAGCCAAGACCTTAAAAACTTCTTCTAACTTGTAATAATCATCAAGTTTTGCGTTTTTTTTCATGATGATGATGGGTGCTCCAAGAAGCGGTAAGATCGATCCCATACCAGTTGACATGGATAAAGAATCAAACAGAGAAAAAAGACAGGAAAGAAAGAGGAAGGAAAGGAGAAGAAGACAAATTTTTTTAATGCTTGCATTCTTTCTTTTGGTTACTCTTTTATATCTAAACTCTTTAACATTAATAATTCAAGCCTAGGCATTACTTAAGCCTACATAGGAATTCAAAAATCCAGCCCATATATTAAATAGCCCATTTTCCCCAATTCAGCTCTTTTTTCACGCCTCATTTCCTCCATCTCTCACTACATTTGCGAGTAAGATTTATTTGCAAGCATATTGGGAGTGAGCAAAACAAGTTCACCAACAAATCTAATCAATTTTCACCTTTATTGGGAGATAACCGCCTTCAAATAAACCAGTCAGTCACAAACCTTCTTGGTATGCCTGTCTATCTTACATAACAGGGTTACAGCACTAGTGGTATGTACTGTTTGCAGCAGGCATAAACCGTCGGTCAAATCAGTGTGCGCTCCACATTAGTAATGAGAATCGTACAAACTTACCCTTCAGATCTCATACAGCATCCGCTAAAATCTACAAATAGATAAAGATTAATAATGCTGTTGAATAAGCCCATCATTTCTGCCTTTGACTTCACTTGTCACTAAAACATAATCATGTAAAAAACGATTGTCAAAATTATCTTTCTTTCTAACCATTAATCGAGAAGCAATGGTTTTGTCTATCAAAATAATCTTGCATTTGGTCATAACAAGATCTATAGCATCATTATCTTCTAGCTAACTTTGCTATTTTCAATCTTCTTTACTGCCAGTAATGCTTATTAGATATTGATTCAAACGCTGGCCAAAAATTTTAGTAGAGAATGACTCAGCAACATGCTTCCGGGCCTCTCCACCCATTCTGCTTGCAATCTGGGGATCCTGAATGAGTTTAGCCATTGCCAAAGAGAACTCTTCAGGGGTAGGGTCACAAAGAAATCCGGTTTCTCCATCCTTAACAGTCTCCACAGGGCCGCCACTATTGCATGCAATCACAGGCTTATGAGCTGCCATTGCCTCCAAAGGAACGATGCCAAAGTGTTCATCCTACAATTATTGAACTATTAATTTAAAACCCTCATTCACCTCAAAGTATGATATATGTGATAGACAAGTGCATGGGATCACACCTTAGGAGTATAAATGACACACAGGCACTGTGAAAGAAGTTTATTTCTTTCAGCTGTTGAGCAGGACGTAATGAAGTTTACCCGTTGAGAGACTCCTTCCCTTTCTGCCAGGCATTTAAGTTCCTCCAGGTATTCAACATTCTCTCGCAGTCGATTATCATATCCACCTGAAAGACAAGTTACATGCAAGCACTTAGTTGCAAAGTCATGGCATTGCCATTTAAACGCATCCTTGTCTACCCTATGTCCTCCCTAAATCAGGTTAATATTCCAATAACCTCGTCTCAAAGAAAATTTTCAGCTTGTCATCTTAATAAAAGATTTGTGTTGTTTCACCCTCTTTTGCAAGAATACCAGCATTTTGCAGAACACTGCCTTTACAACATATTTGCTATCAATTCCACCCATTCAAAAAATGCTATAGGAAATTGCAAAGTAATTATCTAAACTGTAATTTCAGTGAATAGAAATCATTAGTGAAGGTGCGCGTCCTCCCCACTCTCTCCCTCCCACCTCTTTTTATGTGAGGAAGGTGCAAGCCCCTTTTTGCAACAAGTATTATGGGATAATGAAGATACTGCATCCCAAGTATAAAAACCATTTTCCAAGCTCATCAATATAAAAGGTTGGTGAGTAATGCAACCCAGGAGGGAAGCAAATTGAGACTTGCCTGCAATGGTTAACGTAGCTTCAGTTAGATTTTGACTTTGAAGGGCATGTTCCTCAAGTGTATGAAGTCTGGCAAAGGCAGAGACTGCCAACTCTATGTTCTTTTTCCTTTCAAAGCGATTTATCGAGAGAAAATTCAGCCTATGCCACATGAAACAGGTAAGAATAAGATTCTGAACTACTGCAGGGAAAATACAATGAAAGAAATTCTTGTTCATCATTCCAAGAGCCTGTTTAGAGTTATAAGATGCAAGAGATATACAATAATTTTCGTTACTTATAAGAATGAGGTACATCAAATTGATCCACATTAACAGCAGGGTAAAGAATAGCAGGTTGGATTCCTCGCGCATGAAGATGCTTGAATGTATTCGCGAACATAGATGCAGTGAATTTACTATTCACAAGTATCATATCTGACATGCCTGCAGTCCCCAAGAGCAGTTAATGAGAATTGTTAGTTTCAACTTTCAACTTGGAGAAAGTTAACACCAAAGAGATTTGCTGTGAACAAAAAGGAAAAACCACAGAAATTGGAAACAGACCAGTTGTAATTTCTTCTATGAAATCAATGGGTTTCCTATATAGCCTCTGGAGAACAGTTGTATGCTCAGCCAGCAACAAATCAGGAAAATGACAGTAAAAAACCACCTGGATAAACAGGATTATTGTAAAAAACCTAAGGCTAAAAACCTAAATAACAAATCATATCACTATCAAAGCCACAAAATACCTTCATTGATTTTTTAAGTCTCAACAGTGGGATGAAAACAGAGACCTGGTCTGCTAATATAACATCAAATGACGGCCACAGGAATAACACGCAAAGGGCAACAAAAACACACCGCAAATATGCACATACGGCATGAAGACGATAGAATATATGTCGGGGTAGGAAAGAACCATAAACAGTAACCGGAAAGGTACCTGTAGTGATGACATATGTAAATCAGGTGCATCATAGAATTTCATACAAATGAACAATATAAACCGCCAAAAGAGATATACAGCATAGAAAACCATGTAGAACAGGAATCCATAAACTGAAAAGATAACTGATTTACAATAAGCTTCCAAGTCCAAGAGCCATTTTATTGGGAAACACCATATTACACACAACTTTAACAAGTCCATACAATCATGACCTTCTAAGCACTAAGATTTTTAATGAAGAAACTCCAATGTTTTACTTTTATTTAACATATAAAGTTTTCTGCAAAAGTGAATTCAAACGAAATGTAGACTTTGATATGGATAAATGGCAATAAACGCAACTTACCAGCCACGGTTTCTTCGAAGCACCGGTTTTTATCATGATGAGCTGTAAAAATATGAACATTGTGGCCATGGGAGACAAGTTCAACAGCAGCATCAACTATTAACCTTTCAGCTCCGCCTATAAATAATGATCATGTACGAAAAAGTTAAGTTTAATATTCAAACTGCTGGCAATACACCTGTATTATACAAGAACACCCATACATTTGAAGAAACAAAAACCGTTTCTTCAAGCCCAGAATATTTGGCCAATTTATAGAATAAAATCATAAAACAATAAGAAATCACCATACAGATAATTCAACCTCTTCTACCAAATAAGCATCGAATGTTTCTACCCATCGTTGGATTCAATTGGCTTCATTATTTTAATCGTCAAAAAAAAAAAAAAAAATCACTCATTGGTAGTTCAATTGATATTAACAAATTCCCAAAATTGAAAAGCAGGGAGAAAGAAATAAGAGAGAGAAAGGGGTAAAAAGTTGACGCAAAAGTTACCTATACCAAGATCTGGATGAATGATGGCAATCTTTAATTTTCTCTCCATTTCTTTGCTCCTCTTCGTTTTGGGGCTGTAGAGAGAGAAGACGTTGTTCTATGTGAAAGAAAGCTTTCTGTATTCTTTATATATACATATATATATGAGAAAAGTCACCCAAGATCTGAGAAATAAAAGAAAAAACGCAAGAAACCATAATTTATATCTGTGAGTAATTCAATAATTACCTCCGATTCAACATCAATAATTCAGAGTTCACGGCAAAACAAAATCAACATCATCAACTGACCCAGATATCTTAATCAAACAATGACAAATCTGATTGGTAAGAAAGAAAGTTAAATGACTCGATTATCCAATTGATTCACTACAACCTGAAACCCACACATAATATAGAAAGCAACCAACTACAGCAGCATTGTTCAGAAATCTCCAAGTTTCAAAACCCAATTTTCATGTTCTCATAGAACAGAAAAACCCGAATCGCGTCATCTTTGAAAATTGAAATCTTAGATCATGTCTTTGAAGAACAAAATATACAATTCATGCTGAAAATTCTGAAACACAAAAATCTAAGTCTCGTGATTTTACAAATTAAAATTTCCAAACACCAAAAAAAATACCCAATTCACAATGAAAATTCTCAATTCAAACCCAAACCCACCATCAGCAATGATAGTAGGGGTTGCATTGACTACAACAATAACATCAGTATCTGTTGCAAGTTCAATTTCAAATTGAAATTGAACTTGCAACACTATCGCAAGGAACAAAGTCAACTTCTCCCTACCTATTTGGAATCTGGTTGGCTGAATCCTATGATCAACAGTGTCCCCTCCAACTGTGGATCAATACATATGAATTGAAAAGAAGAAAAGAAGATAGTATCGGATCCAAAGATCTTCTCCAAGTACTCGGTAGAACGGGAGGTGTTGCCACTGAGAAAGCGAGCGAGCAATCGAAGAATGAGATACAGATGAATATGGGTAATTGGGTTTTATATTGAATCTCGAAGAAAAAGACGGGGGGAAACGGGGGAGGGAGGTAATTGTGGTCAATGCACCAAACCTTGAAGAACATAAAAGAGCGAGAGAATCCGGACTCCTGAACAGAGAGAAGGAATGGTGAGCGAGACCAGCCACGTTTAGTTTTTCCGGAAAAAAAAAATAACTTTATTTTTTTTTCATGCATTTTTTTAAATTGAATTCTTTTTTACAGAATGTCAACTTCGTCTAAACGTGTTCAATTCATCCATCATTTGTTATTTGTTATTTATGTTATAGTAAATCCATATTAAAAAATATTTAAAATAAAAGGATGATATAAATAAATAAATAAAATAGTTGAATCATATTAAAAAAAAAATCAAGAATAAAAAGACAAAATATGTATATCAACAACTTCAGTGATAACAAAAATTAAAATCATTTTATGTAATACAAGTAAATTAGGTTGGTTGTGATTTGACATTTGAGTAATTAATTCACAAGCAGAAGAATCTACGAGGGTAGAAAATGTGGAGATTTATTATGATCCAGCATAGTTATTTGGTATTGTTGAATTAAAGAAATGCGTAAAAGGCCGTTAATCTCAAAATCAAAAGAAAATACTATTAAAAGTGATGCAACAACAACACATAATTGTCCATTTTCTAAATAAATATGTAATTAACTGGACATGAGAATCGTTGTGATGGTTAAGAGTTTTTTTCCTTGTGTTTGTGCATGAATCAAACTGCTTGCTTGCTTTTATTAACATTTTAGTATCTAACTTGTCTAATCCTTAGATGGTAATGTAAAAATTCAAAAATAAGCTTATGTACTCATATAACATGTGTCATCATATTATTTTTGAATTTTAGTCAAAACTATGCTCTAATCACATCAAATGGACATAATTAGCCACCCTTACACATGCATCACATAGACCTCATATAGACGTTCAACCCCGATACATCAACTATAGAGAAAAAAGTACCTTCTTTGAATGAAGGCATACTCCTAAAGGTATCTTGTCCAATCGATGTCAACTATGACATTGATTTAGTCGTTTAAAAATAATCTATCAATATCAAAAACAGTTGTCATCTAAGTTTGTGTCATAAGTTATTGGTAACAAGGTAATAGATTATCTTATCTCTTTTTTTATGCTATTTGACCAAGCCAAAGGTTAAGGATTTTGCTCTCTCAATCCTAAATTACTATTCATCATCTCTTCCACACCTGCATAATTATATAATTGTTTTTTTAGGCTATCCTTTTCTCTCTGTACACTTAGTTAGTAGAGGGTCCTTTAATCCACCGGAGGAACTTGTTTTATTGGTGCATCAAGCCATTAGACCATCATCCATTGTTAATCACCACCTTTGCTTCAACCAAAAAGAAAGTTATCTTATTATCAAACATTATTATAAGGTTCACAATCTTATCACGGTGTCGTCCGTGGGGAGCTAAGTTAAAAATTAATCCTTAAATCATAGTTTATTCTCCAAACTTTTCTTATGGCTGAAAATCAAGAGGTACCGAACTTGTGCTATTTTGATGGATTTCATCAATATTAACACTTAACTAATGGAAATCCTTCAACTACAACACCATGTCTAAAATTTGATAGAGGCATCCTATCCGCACAAAAACAAATCAAAGCCTTAATTATACCTTTGTTAGGGTCATGAGCATCGCAATCGCCTTTATACATCCTACCGCCAAAGACCTTTGTGCTCTACCAACTATGCCATGCATAGAAGAACCTAATTGTCTTCCGTAAAAAAATATGTCAGCGAGCATCTTTTTAAGGAGAAAAAAAGGAAAAAAAAAAAAGGGATAGAAGACAAATGCCCTCATTCTCCAAAACATTAGAAAAATCACTATTATAACCACGATAAAAGGGTTGGCTAACCAAAGCACTCGTAGAGGAAAAGAAATAAAAGAGAGGTTAGAATATTACTATAACTTGATGAGTAGGAGTAGCTCTACTAGGGATTGTCATATAAGACATTGTAAGGGCACCACATCCTCACAAACCTCCTCAATGAGCCTTAAGCCCAAGTGTCTATGAATGAAAAAAAAAAAAAAAACTCACCATCTATTTCTAATCAAAGTTCAACCACTATAATTATAGAGTCTAGGCTTTTTTTTTTGTACCTTATATCTTGAATGCTAGGCTTTTAAGAGATTTCATCTTCGTAAAAATGAACCCGGACATATATGGTGGCACAATAGATCCATGAAAATACATGTAAAATGTTAAATGGACTATTGAGCTAGTGCTCTAAAGCATAGTGTCGTATGCAAGGTACTCTTACTATCTTTAGAGGAGTAGCTAAAAATGATATGATAACATAGTTCCTAAATCGAGTACTTAGCTTTAAGGATTTCGTTTCAAAGCTCATTTCTCCACCAATATCCTAACCAAAAAAAGCTCCTCGACTTCTTTTTCATAGCCCAATGAGATGGAGAAAGCATCGGGACTTACCTCTCTCGTCTTCATAAAGAAATGCTAAAGGTTAACGGGTTGCAAGAACTTATAGCAACAAAGGCTATAATTATAATACCTCATACCTAGAAAATTAGCTAAATAATATTTTATACATGTGAAAAATATTTTCTATGACCATAGAATAATCAATATATGCGTGATAGAATATTTTGTGCGATTGCTTGAATTTTTATTTGTTGTGTGAGTATTTTATCTACATTTATATGAAAAATATGTGTAATTATGTGAAAATAATTATCTAGTGTGTCTATCTCGCATGCATAAAATTTATGTGGTAGGTGAATAAATTCCTTTGATAAGTGCATGAATATATTTTAAAAAGGAAAATTTTAATTAGGATGTGTAGAATTAATTATGCCTACGTGGGGATTTAATTGCAAAATCTTAAAGACCCAACTAAATAAAATTAAAATTTTAGGTATTTAATTTAATTCATAAATAGAATATAGGGACTATATTGATAATTGGAAAGCTTGGGTGGAGGGCTTAATCGATAAATATAAAAGTTCGGGGAAAAAGTTACCGGGACCTAATTGAACTAAATAAATAAATTAAGGGATCGAAATGGAATTTTTGGCCATCAAAATGGCTTATGACCGATCACTTGTGAGGGTGAATTATTGAGTTAAAAATATCCAATTAGCTTTATTAAAAGAATAGAAATGCATTACTTAAGAAACCTTTAGATTAAACCAAATGGAAGACTAGGATAATTGCTAGGAAAATTCAATTAAAATTCTGAATATTAAGGCTTATAAATCCAGTCATCCAAGGGAGAAGAAGAGGGTGATGAACACTTGAAGAAGCAAGGAGAAACTCTACCAAAAATTAAGCCTAAAAACACCTAAACTCACCAAATTTAATCACCAATACACCCTAAACCACCTAAACAAATGAAAGAATTAAATTAAAAGATCAAACAAACAAGAAGAAGGAGAAGAGAGGGTAGGTCAAAAGTTCTAAGTGGGCAATGAATAAAGAAATTCACAAATTCAAGTAAGAAACAATTAAGGAGCAAACTAGGTAAGTATAGTTTTCACTACACTACTTGAACTTAATTACTTTTGAGTTAATTTATAAAGCTATGAAGCTATTATGTTTGATATTAGCATATGAATTTGAGGTTGTTGGATTGAATTTAAAGTTATTAAGGTGAATTAATGAAGTAATGTAATTATTGATGCAAGAATTATTAGGTTAGAACAATGAATTCAAGTTTGATTAGTTGAATTGAATTAATTTGGGTTAGGGTTCTTGAAAATATGATTTGGAAAAAAATGATTTAAGAGCTGAAATTGATGATGAATTAGATTAATTAAGCATGTAAACATATGCTCAAAATGAAAAACTACCTAGCCTAAACCAAGAGGAAACATTCAACCAAATTGAAGAAATTTAAGGTTAGAAGTTTAATCCATGTGTTATTGTTGTTAGATAAATTAAATGAGATTTAGAATAATTAAGTGGGTTAGAATATGAATTAGCACTTAACATGAAAAATTCACTTAGCTTAGGTCAAAAGGAAGTTTCGACCAACATGGTGTGATTAA